CAGCGGGCCACGGTAAAATTATCAAAGGCTGACTGGTCCGCGGCGATAAAAAGGTTGGGGACCACTGATCTAAAGGATCATCTGTCTCCTGTGGCTTCTGCCTAGCTGTATGATTAGGCACTGTTGACATACTCTAGGTCCCTCCCATTATAGGGTCACCTGATGAATGCAGCATGTCTTCTCTGTTAGAGTGCCTGTCTCTGTAATGACATCCCCACCCTCAAGGCATCTCTGGCTCCCACCTTACCTGGATTCAAGAGCTCTGAAAACTGTCTCTTTCTTCAATTCTTAGGTTAGAGGGGCAGGTCCTGCATGATGAGATCTTTTAATGGTCATTTTTTTCTCTGTCATTTGGATTTTTATTTGATTGTTTTTGCTATATGTCACCCATAGTTATTGTAGAGTTGGATAGCCAAATAAACAAATAAATGTGAAAGAACAGGAAAGGACAGAATATTTCTGTGTGGCCTTTAAAACATTAGTCATTCTACCCTCTTGGCATTTAGCTTTGGCTCTTTAGACACAGCCACATTTGTTAAGGATTTGGGGAACCTCTTAAACAAAGTTTGTTCAGGAAGCAGCAGTTAAGAAGAAAAGAATGAAAAATGCATGAATGAAGATTTGCTTGGGCAATGTTGGATGCAGCCCAGAAATACAATTTAAGGAAAAAGGATCTCATTTAATCTTTTGTTTCAAAATACATGAGATTGCTATCCATGAGCAGCTTTCTCGTTATTACCAGAATTAAAAACTAACAGTGATGAATAACACAACTTTTTCTCCTCTATTTAAACTTCCACTGACCCAGAGCAATGCACTCCTACATGCAGATTTGGTTGCCCTGGCACTGAAAATATTTCAATCTCTTATAACTAGGAACTCCAAACCTCTTTAGTGGTAAAAACAAAACAAAACAGAGAGATAACATGAAAATCCTATTTCTTTTATATTTAATTCTTAACATAAAAGTTATCTGGGCAGATGAAAATGTAGCATTCATCAAATTAGCCTACTCCCACCCCTGCCTTCTAGAATCTGGGCAATTATCCCATAGCTCTTCAATTAAATAAGCCAATTTCTGTCTGAGTGCTAAAACATTCATATCAATGATGAAAAATGAATTGCCATTCAAGATTGCAGCAGAACTTCTACGTGTAGATAATGTGCAGGATTATGCACCGATATCTACTCATTTGACATATTTTTTGTTATTAAAATGGGCTGAAAATTGAACCCTGACACTTATGGAAGGATAAAATTAGAAATGCTCTGGGTTTGTTATCCTGTAGCTACAACGAAAGCACAAGAGCATCTTTCTTTCATCCCAATTGTCCTATGGTGCAAAAAAATGATATCCAGAAAATTGTCCTCTGAGGTAAACGGTAACCTTGATAAATAACCAACCCTTAAAGGTTTTCATGATGAAAGACTGTGCAAGCTAAAAAACTGCTGGTCAATTATAGAGTCTAATGGTGGTTTAGGTTTGTTTCCCCAGAAAAAGAATGATTACTGACGAAAGATTGAAAAAGTCTGGGTCACAGAAGTCAATGATCTCTCTCTGGAAAAAAGGAGAAGAAAAATCTACTTCAAAAGAGCAAGAACAGTCTCAAAACCAGTTTTGTTGTTTGAAGGACTGAAGATGACAGCCCCTCAAATAAGGTTTCTTACTAAAATAGCATGGTTCATACACAAAGCAAAATGAGGTAAAAGAGAATGCAGAGGTGATACAAAGACTGAGTGAGGGAGACGGGGGATTTCTGTAAATGCTGTCTTATTTAACAACAGCAATAACAACAACAGTGCACAATTGAACACAACCTTTAAGAAAAGATGAGAAATTCAAGCCAGGTCAAGGATTGGACTGTCTCCCTTAAAAATCTGGTGGGAGTGGGATAACATGAATAACAGGTTAATTGAAGAGGAAAGCCTCTCATCATATCTTGTTTTAATTGTTTTTATGCTTGTTCAGCACTCGGAGTCACTGGTTTGAGACGGGCAGCCATACAAATCGAATGAATGAATAAATAAATACATTTCACAAAACCTTCTCCTTATATCATTACTTTATATTTACTGAAAAATTCAGAGAGTGAAGGTTCCTGTCCTTTTATAGCTCAGCAATGACAGATTGGTATAGAGCCTATACAGAATCTTTTCCTTCCTTCAGGGGATGAAAGGAGAAAAGCTATTTCTCTTGCTTTGCATAAAAGGATATGTCACCTATGCCAAAACAAAGGTGACTTTGAAAGTGCTCCAAAAAGAAAATCTCCCAAGGAATTCTCCAGCCACCTTAGACGCCTTAAACTAGTGTTGGTGAACCTTTTCAGCACTAAGTGCTGAAACACGAGTGTGCGTGCGTGTGTGTCCTGGAAATTGGAAGAGCAGTTCCCAGCCGCACATGTGCACGCTGGAAACTGGAAAAGCAGCTGCCCCG